CGGAGATGGGAGGCTGGGAGGTGAAGGGGAAACTTGGGGGCAAAGAAAGGGAAAGGGGAACCAATGGAACAAGGACGCAGGGGTGTTGGGGGAAACGAGAGGGGTAGGGTGACAGGGAAGGGTCTTAGGGGGACAAAGTGTGTGTGTGTGGAACACAAGGAGCCTCACGGAGGGAGAGAAAGGGATAGTGGGTGTGAGATGGATGGAAAGACAGGAAAGAGGAAGGAAATGTGAAGGGGAAATGAAGGGTTGGGGGAACGGGAGGGACGCGAAGTAGAGGAACAGGAGACACCGGGGCACGAATGGTGCGAGTCCAGCAGCGGGAGGGGGTTGCGGGGGGTGAGTGGTGGGTGGCGAAGGACCGGGCACCGGGGTCTGGGGAGGTGTCCTGGCGGGGTCAGAAGGAAGCTGCAGGTCGGGGCAGGGTTCAGGGGACCAGAGGACCGAGTGGGGTGCGTGGGGGAGAAAGTGAAGGAGAGCTGGTGTGAGATGAAAGGGGGGAGAGGCTGGGCACTCGGTGGAGGAGGTGGGAGAGGGCAGGGCATGGACAGCAGGACTTTCTCCAGGAACTGGGAGCACCGTTACCCTCTTCTGTCCTCGCTTCCTCGGGACCAAGTGCAGGAAAAAGAGAAAAAGTGCCCAATGAGAGGAGGATGTCTCCAGAGCATTAAATTGTTGTGCGAGCGGGAAGGGGCGTTAAGAGAATCGGTGACTTTGGGGAGCGGTGTGGTCAGAAAAATAGGAGACCTTTACTACCATCTCCTGAAAGCAACACTTAATTGTTAAATTCTTGGGCTTGAATGTTTAAGAACTTCGCAGCTGAGGAGTCTGCCTGGGTCCCTGTATTTTTTGCTCTGGTTTTAATTATGAGTTGCTCAACGAATCACAACAAGCAGCATCTTCCCCCCCCCACTCCCACCCCCGCCCCCGTTATTTTCATTTGATTCAGTTTTTTTTCTGATCTGGGCTGGGAGCTGTCCTTCCACCTTTTGTACTGGAAGACTTTGTGTTCAGGTAACAAGTTCTCTAACTTCCTATAAACTGAAGAGGAAATCAAAGCTGGTTTTAAGCTGCCAACCAAGTGACCTAAACACCCTTTTCCTTGTTAAATAGCTGCGGTTAATTAAGTGCCCGAAGGATCTTAACTTTTGGTCGTCTGGGTGATGCTTGTGGCTTCTCCAAGGAGCTCACTTAAGCGTCTTTCAAATGAATTCTTACAGCTTATTTTACCATGAATCTCAGATTATTGGGGGCTAGTGCGATGGTCATAAGTGTTATTTGATTATTTGTATGTTTTAGGGATAATTTATTATTTTTTTAAAAAGAATAATTGGGTATAGAGCGCTCTTCAAATCAAGTAGTAGGCAAAGCTGTGTGGTTGGCTGGCTGGCTCCGGCCTCTTTGACAGGAATTGAGTGGTCTGAAAGCTCCCCGGCCTTATGATGTCTGGGCTGAGGGAAGTTTGAGCTGCAAGTTCTTGGCAGTCAGTCTTGAGTGGGACTTTTTCTTTTCTGAGGAAGCAGATTTTAAATGTCACGTCTCAAGTATATTTCTGAGAGATTTGGTTGGAGCTGTTACAGCAGCTGAAGGGCGTTAATTTTGTTGCTGGTACTCATCTCAAAACCTAGAGTAACCTTCTTCCATTGTTGAATGCATGCTGCAGTCCAGTTGGTAAAGGACAGTTTCTGACCGGTTGAGTGGGTAGTCTTTTGTCCATTCTTTGCTTGACGCTCCCAGAAGCAGTCTCCTGCTTTGACAGTGAGTGAGTCGCTTGGATGCTATTTCTGTTAAGCTCCTTGGATGACCTTTGCTTGTTTATAATAGTTTAATTAGTTTTCCCCTTTTTGCCTTAATTTTTGCCCCATATTTCCTGTAAGGGTGACTACTTCCTTTTAAAATAGTAGCTTTTAAAAATTACTTTTCATTCTGAAGGAGTAGAATTCTTTTTGTGTTGATTTTTTTTTTTTTAATGATTGCAATTCAGTTCAATGGAGGGCCGCAACTATTAAGGCATGAAAAACAGTGTCCTGACACTGTTTGGAACAGGTGGTAGACAGTTAAACGGGGTGAATCTCATGAATAATCTTAGTCTTTGTATTTTCTGTGGGGTGGATGTGGTAAAAAGAGACTATGAGCTGTGTCTTCACTTGACATGGAGGAGGGGGAAATCTTCCGTGCCTCCACTTACCCTCCCTCCCCCAGAGCCCCAACAGGAAGTGGTAGCACACTGCCTTCAAACAGTAGAAGAGTTTATATACCTTAAACCCAGTGCTTCGCAATTGAAATGAAGTTAGAAAGCTACGGTGAATGTTAATACCATCGTAGTAAAAATCTCCACAAACATAGGTTTGGAGTGTCCACGTTGCTAGTAACAAAATCCCACTACTCCCGTGGTTCTCAGCCTTCTGGCCCTTTAAATACAGTTCCTCATGTTGTGACCCAACATAAAATTATTTTCGTTGCTACTTCATAACTGTAATGTTGCTACTGTTATGAATCGTAATGTAAATATCTGATATGCAGGATGGTCTTAAGTGACCCCTGTGAAAGGGTCGTTCAACCGCCAAAGGGGTCGCGACCCACAGGTTGAGAACCGCCGCACTACTCCCTCAATACCCCCATCCCATTCCCAGGTGATAGGAAGTTGTTGAAGTGAGAGCTGGTGGTTTATCTCCTCCCAGTCATAGTTATTTCTTGAAGTTCCTAGGTGTGTAAGTTCCTGGGTATTGGAACTGGGTTTTGACAAGGTCTGCCACAGCATTGCTGACAAACCTTGATAAGGTCTATGTGACAGGAAAGACGCATTTCTTAACGCCTGGGGTCTGTGTGTGTGTGTGTGTGTGTGTGTGGTTTGGTAGATATGTATACCTTGTGCCTGTTTCTTCTAATGAGAGGACATTTTAAGACTTAGTTTTGGTTTGTCAAAGTTTAAGTAGTTTTAAAAAGGGCCTCTGGCCATCTTTAAACACTTTTCATGTGGCGTCTGCCATCATGAGAGGAAGGCGACAATTAGTCATTTTCAGAGCAGATACAGTTGTCGCCCAGATGCTTTTCCTTACTTCTCTAAGGTGTGGCTGTTCTCTCAGATATCCTGGCTCCCCTCATTTCCTTTTTGCTCTTTGGGTGGTGGAGGGGTACGTTTTCTTCCAACGGACTTATTGGGACTCTTCCAGTATATCAGTCAGATAATATTTGTCAATTATTGAGTAAGATTGTTTTATCCATTTGAAATAATAGGCCCAGTGCTAGCCTTTCAGTTCCAATATTTGAGAACTGAAAAAAGTTTTTTAATTGGCTTCCCAAACCTCTTACATAATCATAATTAATGCTTAATTCAATGTCTATAAAATGTAACATTAAGACAACCAGGAAACAGCTATACAGTTAGCTACGTGTTATATTTCCTCTGGGCTGTGGGTGCATTTTAATATTGATAGGAGGGCACATTGACATGTTGGAATGACCTGTACTGAATAAGGTGCTGGTAGAAGAAAAAGAAAAGCAGATCCTGTTCTCTAACAAGACAATCTAAGCTTCTTCCCTTTGCTGTCTTTCCCCTGGCCTGCCCCCCTTCCACCCGCTCTCCCCCCGCCCCGTCTTCCGGTTAGGGTATTTCCTGAGTGGTTTCATTTTAGTATAGTCATAGTTTGACAGCAGAAAGAGTCTTAGAGATGATCTTTATGCCCCTGCCCCAATTTTATAAATAAGAAAACTAAGGTTAAGTTGACATTGTCAAGATCACAGCGGGTTGTCACAGAGACTCCAGCGCACTCCAAATCCAAGTCTGTGTCGCTTTTCACAATCAGGCTGCTGCTATATCTAATCAGCATGACCATCTCCACAAATTTGTCACCACCTTTTCTAGGAAGAAATTAGATTTTGCCCGTATGCTTTATGTGGAGAAAGTTCAATGTTCCCACGTTGATGAGCCAAATCTGTTCCGGGAAATAGTGAATGCTCATACAGTGGTTCAGAGTGCTGCAGCAGGGGATGCAGGGACAGCTCAGCACCTGAAGCTGTCCTTTGCTCTCTGTGGTTTCAGGTTAGGAGATCAAAGGGCACCCTGTCATTAAAATTCCTTTCCTGTGCAAAATAACTAATGCAATCATATTAATAAGGGGACGATGGCAGTTGTTGCAGCCTTCTCTCACCAGAGCACTTTTAGATGTTTTCTTTGGTAACATTGCTTTTTTTTTCTCTTCTTGGATTCAGTTTCCTCAAAATAAGGGGTTGACAAACTGTTGCCCATAGGCCAATGTGGCCTGCAGCCTGTTTTTTTGGCAGTCCAATGTAACAATGGTTTTTTACAGTATTAAAGGGTTATTAAAAAAATCAAACAAAACAAAGAATATGCAAGAGACCATATGTGTCCCACAAAGCTTAAAAATATTTACTCTTTCTTTATATAAAAAGTTTGCTGACCCCGACTTTATTAAAAACTGTTTTTCGTTGGTAGCAATTCAAAGCTTTTATCAAGACTTATTGACTGAGAAACAAACTTTGTCATGTTTACATTTTTAGCCAAGATGATATCAACATTTGGCTGAGCGTAATCCAGATATGTAGAGCAAGTTGATTTTAATTTTCATAGTTGTTTTCATTCGTTTCATCCTTGCAAACAAAAATATGCAGGGAACATTCAACTTCAAATTGAACATTTTGTACATGAAGCCTTATTTTAATGTCATGTGTTCTTTCAAAGCTGTCAGTAGACTTCCTATCTATTTCAGAACATGTAGAATTTAATACTTGGTAGTAAAGGGTTAAACTCATCTCCTCCGTTTGTGTTCTAGCATATGAAAAAAGCCCCTCAACAGATTAAGGAGGAGAGCAGGGAAACTGAGTCCTGGCTA